CCCCCCCCCCCCCCCCCCCCCCCCCCCCCCGTTTCGTTTGCACGGCCAGCATCGCCGGGTCGGCTGAGGGACCGTGGCTTCAGATGCCCCCCACGTTGAAGGTTGGCACCAACTGGTGCCACATGCGTTTGCGCCCTGGCCCACAGAACGAGTCAATTGCCACCCTGCTGGCACGGCTGGAGGGCATTCTAAGGCCACTGCCACGCTGGATGCTGCATCGTGGGCGGTATGCTCATAAGTACTACATGAAAGATGGTCGTGTTTACGAGAAGAGTGTTCACTCGGTGCGATGATGGACGGGGGCGGGTTTTAGGCTGGGTGGGATGCAAAGAGCGGCAGTAAAGGGCAGGATCTAAGCGCTGTGTTTCAACTGTGGGGTGCGCCCGCATCGCAACGAACACTTGCTATTCTTGCTGGTTGGCTGGGATGGGGTCGTGACATGCATTGTCCAATTGTGCCTGACCCGGGTGGCAACCTGTCGGCTGGGCCTGCAGGGGCGGTATGAGTATTTGCGACCCAAGGCCACCTCATTGGCATGGCGGGTACCACAGGCGGACGAAGGAATGCTGTCGTTCCTGAAGCACCTGCTCCAGGCAAGGCCTACCTGCCTGAGTGTGGGGTACCAGAAGAAAGAATCTGCCTGAGCGTGGGGCATGAAGAGAGAAAAAATGCGACATTCACAATACAAACAAACCCTGTCTACGAAACGTACACAACGTGCAGGTCGATCCGACGAAGCGACCATCAGCAGCACAAGCCCTACACCATCCCTGGCTCGAGCATCAGTACTAAGCGCCTTTGGGCTATCATTTTCCTAGGATTTTATCTAATTTCCCAACTTGTCAGCGAAAAGCCATCTGTTTCTCTCCCGTGTCATTGGTATCACTTTTAGGCCTTCGTGCCATTTCCATGCTGCGTTGGTGTCCCCATCACAATGTGTAAGAGGTACCCCCCCAAAACTAGCACGATTTGCGCCCGTTGGGCGCGGAAAAATGGGGGCGAAGCATTTGGTGCCCTTCGGGCACTGCATTCTGCTGCGGCGGCGCCATGGCCCTGGAACAGGCACCAGCCCAGGATCATGGTGTGTTAGCATTTCCTGATTGCTGCTGTGGAATGGATGAGCAGCAAGTTAGCTGCAGCCTGGTGCTGAATTCCTGCTGCCTGCACCTGCTGCCGGCGGGCAGCGGCTCGCTCGCGGCGGCAGGCCAGGCGAGCATTTCGAGTGTTGCGGAGGTGCCGGCGCTGATCCCGAAGCCGCTGCTCTTCTGCAACCTAAAATTACTTGAACTACTTGCTGCGGCCCCCCAATCTCCGCCGCATGAGCAGCGCTATGATCGGGTGGGCTACCTACTAGCTAAGGGCACCCATTCCTGAAGCGGAGAGCACAACACGACAGAGGAGAAGGCTGGTCGAGCTTGGTGGAGCTTGACCTGCTGCCTGCCGACGGGGCATGGGATTCCGTGCGTCCCAGCGCGCGGCAGCAGTCTGTTTGAGCTTCACATAGTTCTAGGAAACGTTTCGGAGCCGCAACGGAGACGGGGAACACCAGCTGCTCGCAGCTGTCGGAGATGGCAGGGAGCCTCATTGCTGCCTCGCGCGGAAGCCATGGCCAGCAAAAGCAGCCTCATGGGATGTGAGGAGTATGCTCACAACGGGAATCGACGAAAGAATGCCGGTTTTTTTTTTCTTGACTTGACTTACAGAGCGGATTCGGAGCCAGCGAGGCTCATACACGCATTGCGGCGGCGTAAAACATGGCAGTCATTGATAAATGAAGCAACTCTATTCTGGTCTTGGGACAAAAAGCATGGAATGGACGTGGGCAAATCAGGGGGGAAGAGATCTGCGTACTCAAAGCGCAGATGGTCGTAAATGGAGTCTGGTAAATGGGGCAGTGGAAAACCATATGGGTCTCGTCTTCAATGGCGGGAGAAGCACACAAGAGGCAGGTGCGTTCATGGGTGGGGGCCTGGATGGCCTTTGGGCAAATAGCGTTCCCGTTCGATGCGAAGGTCATGGCAACTGGTTCTAAAGCGAGTGAGGGCGATACGGAGATTGGGGTCATAGACTTCAAGCAAGTGAGGTGCTGGTTGGGAGAGGGGCAGGCCGCCGCGAATGTGCTGTAAGTAGTAGGCAAATTTGTTTGTTGCTGCTGGGTGTTACTGGGAGTTGCTGCCGTTGGCTGATGTTGCTGGCTGCTACTGGCTGCTGCTCTCGAGCTCCGGCTTGGTCAGCGCCGGCTCCAGGGACTGGCGAAGGTAAGCTGCTCCTTGTTGTGAGAGAAGGGCTTTACACCTGACTGCAGAGGGCAGTCACTGAGGAAGGGCACTAGGAGAGAATGACAAACAAGGCGAAATGCAGGGGATTATATGCATGCATGGGAGAATGGCCAGATGGCGGGTGGCCGCCAGATGTCGCCGCCAGCTGGAGGGTGCTGACAGATGGCATTGGGTCGGGGGAGCTGACCGTTGGGTTTTGCCAGCTGGCGCGGGTGTGGGGCGCGTGGCTTTCGGTTTGGCCATCTGGCTTTCGGTCTGGCCGCGTCCCAACGCGGTGGGTGCTGTAGGTGAGCAGGCTGGACAGCTGGCGGGCGCTGGTGCAGCCAGGTGGCCCGCCGTCCAACACTCCCACGCAGACTGCTCAACTGCAGGGGGTGATGCCCATCGCGGTGCGGCAGTAGTCGAACTTGGTTGCCGGCACGGGCTTGGTCAGGGAGTCGGCGACCATGTGGTCAGTCTTGATGTAGGAGAAGGAAACGTCGTTGCGTGCCACGCGCTCGCGGGCAAAGTGGTAGATGACGTCGATGTGCTTGGAGCGCATGGAGAAGACGGGGTTCTTGAGCAGCTTGATGGCGCCCTAGCTATCAGCCAGCATGGGGATGGTTTGGATGGGCTGGCCCAGGTTGCCCAACAGGGTGCGCAGCCAGAGGGCCTCCTTGATGGCGGCGGCTGCCGCCATGTACTCGGCCTCGGTGGTGGAGGCCGCCACGGTCTGCTGCAGGCGGCTGGACCAGCTGATGGCACCGCCGTTGAGGATGAAGACGTAGGCGGTGGTGGAGCGCCGGGTGTCGATGTCGCCGGCGTAGTCTGCGTCGCAGTAGGCCTCCAGCCCGGGGCCGCCAAAGGTGATGCCGTAGTTGGCGGTGCCCGCCAGGTAGCGCAGCACGCCCTTGGCTGCCTGCCAGTGGGCGAGGCTGGGCTTGGACATGTAGCGGGCGAGAGCTCCCACGGCTTGGGCGATGTCGGGGCGTGTGCAGACTGACAGATACAGGCTCCCAACCAGCTGAGCATAGTCGGGGGTGCGTGCGTCCATGGGCTCGCCGACGCTGGTGAGCTTGGTGGCGGTGCTGAGTGGGGTGCTCAGGGGCTTGGCCTCACCCAGGTTGAACTTGGTCAGCAGGTCAGCCGTCATGCGCTTCTGTGCCAGCTTGATGGTCCGGTTGGCGCGGTCGCGGATGATCTCCATGCCCAAGAAGTAGGTGACAGGGCCCAGGTCGCGGGCGTCGAAGGCAGCCAGGATCTGGACCTTGGTGGACTGCAGCTCGGCGACGTCGATCGAAACGACCAGTATGTCGTCGACATAGATGAGTAGGTAGATGGGGTCGGCGCCGGGCTTGATGAAGAGAGCGGGGTCGGCGCTTGACTCGATGTAGCCCATCTCCTCCAGCACGGACTTGAGCTTCTTGTGCCAGGCCCGGGGCGCCTGCTTCAGGCCGTAGAGTGCCTTGTTCAGGTGGCAGGAGATGTCGTCGTTGCCCTCCTCGTAGCCAGGGGGCTGCTGAATGTACACCTCCTCCTCCAGCTCGCCGTTGAGGAAAGCAGTCTTGATGTCCAGCTGGTGGATCTCGTAGTCGTTGGTGGCAGCGATGGACAGCAGGGTGCGCAGGGTGGTAAACTTGCTGACGGGGGCGAAGACCTTCTCGTAGTCGATGCCCTCGCGCTGGCGGAAACCCTTGGCGACGAGGCGGGCCTTGTACCGCTCCACGGCGCCGGTGCTGTCACGCTTGATCTTGAACACCCATTTGACGGGGATGGGGTTGACGCCCTGCGGGGTGCGCTCCAGCGTCCAGGTGTTGTTGTCCAGCAGGGATGCATACTCCTCGTCCATGGCCTGCCGCCAGAAGGGGGCTTGCTCCGAGGCCAGTGCCTCCTCCAGCGTGGTGGGCTCGGTGATGACTGCCAGGTGGGCCTGGGCGGTGGTGGCGCGGTAGCCGTCCAGCTGCCACACAGATGCCGGGCGTTGCGCTGCCGCTCGGACAGGGTTGCGCCGTGGGCCATCTGCCAGCGGCGGCGGCGGCGGTGCTTGCTCCTGCTCCTCCTCCGCACCGCTGTCGTCCGCCGCTCCCACGGTCTCGGCGCCCTCCTCGTCGTCGCTGACGGCGACGGAGTCGCGCCGTGGGGGCAGCAGGGTGCTGGGATTGTGCTCCAGGTTGCCAGGTCCTTCGTTGAAGGTGACGTCGCGGCTGATGACGATGCGCCCGCC